CGGAGGAATTCGTAAGGACGTATCCAGCTCTGGCGGCATCGCGTGGCGGGCGCACGAGGGGGGAGTGGGGACCGGTCTACATAGGTGCGGATGGAGTCGGATGGGGGGAAGGTCGCTACTACAAGCGGGCGAGAGGAGCGGCGGGGGGTAGAGGGGGCTCGGGGAGGGGGGGGGGTGCACGGGGAGGCGATTCTAGCCGTCGTGGTTACACCAAAGGGCGGATTAGGGTTCGGGGCTACATAGGCGGATGGCGGTAGAAGTAGGCTCGCTGCCTCGACGTGGCGGGTCTCGCTTCCACGGTAGGACGAGACGCGCGGAAGGGGGGTATCTCGTTGTGGAGGGCGGAGGGCGCTGGACGCAAGCGTCTTGGGTGTTGGTGCTAGGGTGTCAGCGCATCCAGGGGAGAGGGTGTGATGTGTGACACGTTGATTCTCGCTGCCATCTGTTGTGGGTGTCAGTGTTCAGCGTTATGGTCATGAGTTTCCGGGTACAGGTGGTTCATATTGTGCCGGTGCGTGGGTCTTGGTTATGTGTGTTTTGGTGCCGGGTTGACATGAATCGTGTGCGGACGAGACCGGGGCACGGTAGGTCTAGGAGGGTGCTTGTTTTGGGTAGTGCATGAAAAGTGTGGGCATGTTCGACTTTTTTTTCCCAATAAGGATCGTATGAATCGTACGCGTTGTCGTCGTCGATACTGTGTCCGTATGAAATTGGTTGTGCATGGTTATTGCTATACAACTAATCTCGGTTTGCAGCACGCCAGACGAATCCGCGATGGTCGAAAAATACTCCTTTTCGTGTATCTATCATGCAATGTAAGTTCGTCGCGTCGGTGAAACATTGCTCCAGGTTGCAAACTTGAAGGGGACGCACACACTCCCACTAAGAATTAGGGTCTTGTCAAGTGTCCCATCGCCAAGACATTCCTGCGCTTGGAGTGAGCATGCGCGGAGACGGCGTAAAAAATTGCAGGGCTCCAAAAGTGTGGAACCCAAAGCGTGCCTCAGAGTTACCGCCAACACCCAATGTAGTATTGGGTTGCAAGAACAAATCTTGCAAACAGGCATATACCAAACGACATGCATGTACGCAGGTTGGAGGTGCAGCAACTCGCCCGTGAACCACGACGGCCTCGGTGTTTTTCAAACATGTTACCCTTGATACTCCTTTGCTGCCGCAAGGCATCCTCTCAATGATTGTTGCCAACCAACCCCACACGTCTTTGCGGAGGCGCACGTACCCTCCATGGCGATGCTACGAAAAAAATAAGACGTTGACTCAACCATGCCCCCCCAAAAAGATCCCCCCCCCCCCCC